AAATAAATAAAACATTAAAAAAAATTAAAAAAAAAAAAAAAAAAAAAGAAAAATAGAACTACCATATGATCCAGCAATTCCACTTCTGGGAATATAGCCAAAGGTAAAGAAAACTCTAACTTGAAAAGATATCTGCACCCTCATGTTCACAGCAACATTATTTACAAAAGCCAAGACATGGAAACAACCTAACTGTCCATCAATTATTGAATGGATAAAGAAGTTGTGGTATATACACACACACACAAACACACAGGAATATTTATCAGCCATGAAAAACAAGGAAATCTTATCATTTGTGACAACGTGGATGGACCCTGAGGGCATTACGCTAAGTGAAATAAGCATCACAGAGAAAAACATACTGCATGATTCACTTATGTGTGGAATTTAAAAAGCAACAATGAAATAAAAACAAATTCATTTAAAAAAAAAAAGATCAGACCTGTGGTTACCAGATGGTGGGGGTGGGAAGAGGGGGAACTGGAAGAAGATGGTAAAAGGTACAAACTGCCAGTTGTATGATAAAAAAACACCAACAATGTAATGTACAACATGATGACCACACCAAACACTGCTGTAGGATATACAGGAAAGCTGTTAAGGGAGTAAATCCTAAGAGTTCTCAGCACAAAGAAAAATCTCTTTTTTTCTTCTTATGGTATCTCTATGAGAAGATGGATGGTAGCTGAACCTACTGTGGTGATCATTTCTCAACACACCTAAGTGGAACCATCATGTTACACATCTTAAATTTATAAAATGATGTATGTCAATTATTTCTCAATAGAACTGGAAAACATTTTCTAAGTAAAACATTTTAAAAATTTAGCTTCCAAAGTAGGAATTTAAAGAACAAAGTCTGACAAAAAGTAGACTTTCTTTGCTTGCAGATATGTGCCTACCAAGTAAAAGCCTGTTGAGGCTCAACACATTACCAGCCATCTGTCTTGAGTCAAGAAAATAATGATAAGCAAAATCTAATGACTGCTCCTGTAGGAGTTTTTCTTATAGAAAACCTTTCCCACCCTTGGCCTTCCAGGAAGACCCTGCAGGTGGTCTACCTGGATTATCTAGGGACCTTTCTAAAGCAAATCTTCCACTGATAAATAATTCCAACAGCTATTAATAGTTCTGCCCCGGAGCTTCCTGATTTTGGTCTTCACAACATAATGTAACAAAGCATAATTTTACATGGTGTGTCACAGATACCTTCTAATATCCAACTTCAAACGGTGAAAATCTTAAGAAGCCACTTACTGCTACACCAGCATGATAACTTGTCCCACAAGCAATAAGAATCAAACGCCGACACCTCTGGATCTCCTTAATGTGATCCTTCAAACCGCCCAAATTCACTGAAATAAAAGTTTATGTATATAATTATTTAGGAAAGAACCACATGAAATAGGTAATCACTTTTCATGAGTGTCCAGTGCCAATCTGGGGACTGGGAAACAACACTACCATTTTAAAGAATTTCTACTCTTCTTAGGAAGCACAGTTCTCTATGGTTTTTAAAACGAAATTAAATAGGTCACAACTTAACCGTCCTCCCCAAACCTGTAACGAGCCTTACCCTCCTGCATCCCACACACCTCAGGGTTTTATCACACTCTACCCTGTCTGGTCATTTTTTTCATTCCTCTCTTTAGATTAAAATTTATCTCAAAGGCAAAAACCATAGGGCCATGACGAGAGATCACTACACCGATGGCTGGGGGTGGGGAAGGGGCTAGCCACACAGGGGCACACGGAGGTTTCTAGGGTGATGGAATTGTGCTTCATCTTGATGGCTGTGGAGCTTAGAGCTATGATCATGTTTTGGAAGTCTGTCAAACTCACAGAATTATACACCAAGAATGGTGAATTTTATTATATCTACTTGCATCCCTTTAAGCTACCTGGGAAAATACTTAGTTACATTCATTTCCCACACGAACAGTGTTCCCACCCAGAACAGTACGCTGAACATCATATAAACCCCTTTCCTTCCAGTCCTTCCCATCTCAGTAAATGCCACCCCAGGCACCTGATAGCAATGCCCCTAGACTGCCCCCATCCGTCCTCACATCCACCCCCAGCAGGTCCTGTGAGCGCACCTTGAAAAGGAGCCTATACTGCCATCATTATAGATATCCAACATCTCTGCCCTAGACAAGAGCAACGCTTTCCTAACTTCTCTCTCTCCTATCCCCACCTCCTAGAGCCTGTTCTCCATACACTGCCAGAACAAAATCACCTCTTAGAGTGATTCTTTAAAACCGTAAAGTGATCTCAAAACCTTCCAAGGAGTCTGTCCTCTTTCTGTCTCCACAGCTATTTATGTGTTCTTCTAAGGGCATCTTGTGTAGAAATACGTCAACAAAAGGCTACTTTTCTAGCTATGAGACATTTTCATTCAACATCCATTCCATTATTTGACTAATATTTCCTAAGCACCCACCAAGTGGGTATGCTACCCAAGGTCCTGCGGCTACCAGAGATCAGGGCAGTTCAGGGGGATGGCTGAGAAGATGGCCCTGCACACCCCCGGGCAGCATCCTCTGTGGCTGACACGCCCTTGGTCTGTCTACTCCGCTCCTGCTCTTTACCTCCATATACTTCTTTCTACCTCAACTGGTTATAATATAAAATTAAGGCATATGTTTTGCTTTTAATTTTTCTGAATAACTTTATGTTCTCCCTTTTAAATTTCAGTACTGAGAGGGTGTATTATATTTCTCTATTTTAAAATAAAATCAGCAAATTGGAAAATAAAATAAAACAAAACCACAAAAAGTTTTCAACAGTTTCCCAAGTAACTTGGAATAAAATCTAAACTCCTTATTATGGCTTCAAGTGCCCACATGCCCTGTCTCCTTCTTAACTCTGACCTCATCTCCCAGTACTTTCCCTCCCACCCCGGCCGCTGCAGCCAGATTGGCCTCCTTGCGGTTTCTGCACTAGACCAAGGTTCATGCACCTCTGCCTGCAGTATTCTTCCACAGACCTCGGCACATACTGGAAAGGTCTGGGAAGAAAGCAAACGATATCAAGAGGCTGTGTTCAGATCATCCAACAGCAGATCAGTGCAGAGATGACTCGGTATAAAAGCAGAAAGACCACTAGAGAGACTTCTATTCCAGATGACCAATGACAGGGAAGTAAGGTGGTAAGATCAGCTGCCTGACAACGAGTTCCCTAAAAACTAGCAAATTCCCTGCTGGCTGAAGGAGGTTGGAGGTAATTCTGGAAAGTCATTCAAGGTCTGAATGGATGATGCTTTCGAGAGAAGCTTAGTTTTGATTAGGGAGGCCAGGCTGCTAGAAGCAGCAAGAGTGCTCTGAGGACGGGAGCAGGGATGGAGTATATTCAAGATCACACCTGGACACCGGAACCTAATCTGGCTCCATAACGGACTAGCAACGTGACCTTTGGCAAGACACTCAAACTGACAGAGCCTCAATTTCCTTGCCTCAATAAAAAAAAGTTAACAGCTATGCTGTTTGTATTACAGAACTTTTGTGAGGAACATAACGTTGAGAAAAGTGCTTTTTAAAATCATGAACTTCTCGGGGTGCCTGGGTGGCTTAGTCGGTTAAGCGTCCGACTTTCGCTTAGGTCATGATCTCGCGGTTCGCGGGTTCGAGCTCCGCGTTGGGCTCTGTGCTGACTGCCAGCTCAGAGCCTGGAGCCTGTTTCAGTCTGTGACTCCCTCTCTCTCTGACCCTCCCCTGCTCAAGCTGTCTCCCTTTCTCTCTCTCTCCTAGAAATAAATAAAACATTAAAAAAATAAAATAAAATCTTTACAAAAAAAAAATAAAATCATGAACTTCTCAGAGTTTATCTCACTGTCTTCCCTTATGAATTAAATCTTTTCCCCGATCTTCCTCCCATAAATACCATAAGGTGGTCCTTACTGCTACTCTCCCAATCCTTCCAGCGCAATCACCTTAACAGCCCCACACTGGCAGATGCAGCTCCCCTTTCTCCCCTCCTTCCCCCTCGCTTCAGCCTGGATGCAACTACCTAACTGGCGACTGACGGCCTTTCGGCCTCTCATTCCTCCAGTGCACATTGCAGACTGGTACCCAGTTCACCCCAGTGAAGCTCTGGTTTCTAAGCTTCCTGCTAGCTCTACAACTTCTACACAAGGTGGTCCCCCTGCATCCCCCACTTTAGAGCATTTCAGGACCCCCTTGGCGGCTCCTCCCACCGTCTTTCCCAGACTTACTGTTCCTTACTCTGCTTCAAGTACTACATGTGGCCAACTGGACTACACGTTATTCCGCCAACAGCTTGCCCGTGGTTTTCCATGACCTCCCCTTCAGCTAACGCTGTCCTCTCCAACTGTAACGCTCCCCTGTCATCTCCACCTATCTAAACCTTCCAAATCCCTCAAACTCATGCCTGCCTGCTTCATGAACCCTGCCCTGGCCCCAAAGGTCCTGGCCACAGACGGATTCCTTCTGTCTTCCAAATTCAACATTAAACTTTAAACATTTCAACATTAAACTGTGTTTCTAATGTCAGATATCATATTTTACCTTTCTTTAAATAGTGATATAGTCTCCCCACTTCTAGATTTATGAAAACCTCAAAGAGACCATATTAGAAATAATTTTCCTATAGTCCCTGTTATGTTCAGCATGGTGTTCTGAACAAAGATGTTCAGTTTATAATTCAGCTTCAGTTGAGATAGTCTGATGCTGCGCAGAAAAGAAAAAATACAGAGACAGTGTTTATTCCGAGAAATCAATCAACAGGACATGGCATAAAGAAGACGCTTAACAGTGTCCATATGACACACAGATTTGGGGACAGATTTTTGCACACTAGCTATTATTTCTCAAAAGCTAATTCATGCTGAGAAGCCTAGCCCAAAGTTTGTTTGCTAAACTGTTTATTAAACTGCCATGATGAATGAGCAGTATTCCAAAAATGTGATTTTGCAATAAACAGCTTATCATCTGACCACAGAGAGTCCATCTCAAACTCATCTATGAAAGGTGCGCACGCTCCTGTGACACAAGGTACAGACATACAACCAGAGTGGCACTCTCGGCGCTATCTTAAACAGGCAGGAAGATACAGGTTCTCTCAAAAGGCATTAAGCAAAAACCTGGAAAACATGCAGGGAAGTTCATACCTTCAGTCATCTAGAAACTGAGAAAATCTAGGCCAAGCACACACATGTAAGCTTCCCAATGAGAGGAGAATCAGTACCCAGAACAGGCCCTGGTATACAGCAAGTGACCATTAAAGGTTTTCTGAAGTGAAAGGAAGTTAAATGCTTTCAATGATACACTAGAGGACTCTCCCCCCTCCAGGAAAATCACCCTAATACTCCTTTAATTGTCAAATGTGACTTTCTAGCCATTTTTTACATTTTTTAGAACCACCTTATTGAGATGTCACATACCAAAACATTCCCCCTTTAAAGTGTACAATCAGTGGTTTTTAGTATATTCAGAGTTGTACAACCATCACCACTACCTAATTTTAGAACATTTCATCACCTGCCCCAAACCCCATCCCCATTAGCAGTCATTCTCCACCCTTCCTTTCAGCCTATGGTAACCATTAGTTATTATCTCCCCTTTTTTACTGTGCTAAAATACACAGAACATAAATTTAACATTTTAACAATATTAAAGGATGCAGTGCGGAGGCATTAAGCACATTCACACTGTTGTGCTACCACCACCGCCATCCATCTCCAGAACTTCCTCATCTTCCCAAACTGGAATTCTGTAACTATTAAATAATAACTTCACCTTTGTTCCCTCTCTCTGCCCCTGGTAACCACTAATCTACCATCTGTCTCTATGAATCTGACTACTCTAGGTATATCACCTATCAGTGGAATAATATACTGAAGGATTTTTAGAGGATGATTGGGCTCCACTGATGGCTGTAGCCACAGTTTTCTAGAAGGCTGTGAAAGACAGTGAACTTTCAGGCTGCCAGTGCCAAGCCCCATGGGAGACTCTGAAATAACTCATGTAATTACCTGTATAGTCATCAAAGTTGACTCTTCCTCTCATGGTGTTTACAACAGACTCTGGCTGCTCAAAAATTTCCTTCTGCATAAATGAACTGAAGTTGCCTAAAGTAATATAAATTATATCATTAAAATAACAAATTTGTACCCAACTAAAAGTCTACCTCCTGTAACATCATCTTAGTAAATGAAATGAGGGCTCATGCAACAGAGTACAACATTCACATATGACATTTTATCCTATGTAAAGAAAAATAAGCAAGAAACAAGGAACTTCATACCTAAAATATGCAGTGAAAGCAAAAGGGAATGGGAAGCTTAAGTTTTAGAGTCAGATCTAGGTTTAAACCATGGTTCTATCCTTTACCACCTAAATGGCTCTGGGGAAATTCCTTAATCTGTAAAGTAAGAACAGCAGCTACTTCACAGCATTGTAGTATGGGTTAATACAGGAAAGATCTGAAATATAGCAGTTATGCAATAAACATTAGCCTTTATCCCACCTCGACCCCATGACAAAAGAAGAGAATAAAAAAACACAATGGCAATAATTGTTAACAGTTAACAACAGCAAACAGTATGTAGGGCTCACTAAGCAAGTCAGGCACTATTCTGAAGGCTTTACATAAATTAATCCTCAAAACAACCTTAACAAGGTAGGTCCTATTCTCCTCATTCTGTAGAAGAGAAAACTGAAGCACAGAGAGAATAAGAGAGGAATAAAGAACAGAACACAAACTATGCTTATAAAGTACCTTAAAAATATCAAGAACCACTTCAATGATCAATCTGTTTTTTAACCAACCCTGAATTAGTTTGAAGGACAACTACTTTAAGACCAGCAGATAATTTTCCAAAGAATCATCCCTTTCCCTGGGGTTACCCTGCAATAATCATGTGGAAGGTTTCAGTCAGCACCATGTCATCAGATTCCTACACTACCATAGGAAGTAGAATGTCTCCTTCCCCTTAAGAACACCAAGCTATAACAAGACAAAAACTTTCACCCTTCATGATCTGCTGAAGTTCCATCTGGAGGGTTTGCACAGCTCGTCCAGGGTGATCTCCTGCAGTTCGTTTAATTCGATGGATAGAAAGACGGCCATCCACCACCGCTGCAACATCATCATCTTCAAGAAAGATGACGCGATTGGTATGTTCTATGACAGCACTATAAAATGTTCAAGGAGACAGTACGATCAACAATCAAGAATGATTATTACAAATAAAACTATCATTAGGACACATGGCCCATGTTTAAATTCAAACCTATCACCCTGTAGTATCTCTGATAACTTTCTGGTTACCAAGGCCATTCCGGACAGGGCAGTTGGCGGTTACCATAAACAATGAATAAAAGGATCTCAGTAAAACACATTAAACCAAAATAGATTAGATCAGGTCAGAATAGCCCTCATTCTATCTATCACCAAATCCTCTAATTTTTAAAAAAATTTTTTAAATGTTTTACTGATTTATGAAAGAGAGAGAGAGAGGGAGGCACAGAATCCAAAACAGCCTCCAGGCTCTGAGCTAGCTGTCAGCACAGAGCCTGATGCAGGGCTCGAACCCACGAACCGCGAGATCATGACCTGAGCGGAAGCCGGGAGTTCAACCGACTGAGCCACCCAGGCGCCCCTAACTCCTAAATATTTCTCAAGGCTTATATGTCCACCACCACAAACCAGTTCAAGCTACCATCTGCTCTTGGCTGGACTACTGTAGCAACCTGCTAACTTATTCAACCACATCCCCTCTAATCTCCCTCCATCCGTTTTCCATTTCTGCCAAAATGAATATCAAAAGGCAACTCTAACCAAGATTTCTCCCTCACCCAACAAAACACCTGATGGCTTCCCTTTTAGCTCTTCAGAAAACCACAAAGTACAAAGCATGACCCCACCTCCTTCTCTAGCCTCCACTCCCACCAAACTTCCTCTCTCTATGCCAGCCACACTGCTACCCATCCTGAACTCTCATAGACTGATTTGCAGAAATGAATGTTCTTCCCTCTACCTCGTCATCTAATTAACTCCTAATATGTCCTTATCTCTCAAGTGTCATTCCTTTAAAGAAATTTACCCATAGGAGTGTAAGTCACTCTGTTATAGGGGTTCTGTGGCTCTTGTCACAGCTGGAATTCTACACTTGCATGACTGATCAAAATTTGTCTCCTCCAGTAAGGAGCTCCTTAAGGACAAGTGTCTGTGTGTGTGTGTGTGTGTGTGTGTGTGTGTGTGTGTGTGTAAGGAAGGAAGGAAGCAAGCAAGGAAGTAAGCAAGGAAGAAAAGAAGGGAAGGGAGAAAGGAAGAGAAGGAAAGGAATGAATTGATTGATTGATTGTAATCTCCATCCCCAACATAGGAATTGATTGATTGACTGACTGTAATCTCCATCCCCAACACAGGACTCAAACTCACAAACCCAAGATCAAGAGTCGCATGCTCCACCAACTCCAGCCATGGGACAAATATATTTTTATTTTTACTCACCATTATCTCCTAAGCATACCACATGGCTTTGCTCAGTGTTCAGTATGAATGTCGGAGTGAACGACAATTTCTAGTTTATTTAACTATAACTGTCAAGTCCAACCAACTGACTCAGTGACAGCAATGAAGCATCCCAGCACTGACTCCACACCTGCCAAACTTAGGCAACAGTGAAGCTTATTCTTCCACCGAGATAATGCATTCCCGGCAAGATCTAACCTGTGACACTCTCTCATCTTTAGATCCCCTTACTTTCAGGCACAACAAATGACTCCAAATACTTGTCAGCAACGTGAGTGATTCTGCTTTATCCTCATCACTATTAGTATTCCATTTATAAATGCATCTAAGCATCCCACAGTATTTTTCACTCAAAATGTCTTAGTCTAGTACTATTTCTTTTATAAAAAGTGATTACACTGCAAATTACTTCTGAACTAAAAAGGTGTGTCCTTAATGGACTAAAACTACAATGGTTCAGTAACTATACTATAACTTATAACTGGTGGGACACTAAACCATTCTATTCTCCAATCTAAAATTTCTCCTCCCTATAAGACCTGGCTAAGGCTCCAAAAAGAAGAGGAAAAATATACAAGAGATCAGTTAATATGCTGGAATAAGACTCAAGAGCTGTTATCTTTTCTTGGAAAACTAACCTGCGTGCTTTGACTTGAGAGAAAAAGTTTTCTTAGGACCACATCTCCAAAAAGAGCACCAACATTTCCCTAATTGACAAAATTCTCTTACACAGCGTAACAAGATATATACAAAATGACTTCTGGTTTCTGTAACATGAGAGGTTTTGCTAAAATTCTCTGAATCAAGGAAAGACGCTCACCTTGCATCAGATGCAAAGTAATATTCCACTGCTTTTTCTTCAACAGGGAAAAGGCAAGTTGTGCTGTCCACACGAGAGAGATTACAGCTTCCTTTCTTGTCCTTGCCTAGAGCACAGAGGTAACACAAATCAGCACACGTGTAGAAGACCATGACCAATATAGAAATATACATAATTTTCTTCAAAATCAACAAAAAATCCATAGCAACACAAAATAATTTCAGCAATTCTAAAATGCTAGGTAGATCACCTTATTTCCATGCAATAAGCCAACAAGAACAGACAAAAAGTGTAGAGTGAAATAGCAACTATCAAAGAGAGCGTGGCAGATAACAGTGCTACATTACAAATTTTTAAATATTTCTTTTCCAGGTAAAAGGCAAATAATTCACTGTTATCACTAACTCTTTTTTTAAATTAAAAGTATATATAAGCCTAATCTTAATTTAAATTTATACAAAACTTGATAGAATACACAGAAGTTTGTGTACCTAAACTTATCATTAAAATGACATTAAATATGTCAAAATTATTCAATGAAAAAGTGAAAACTAGTGGCATACGAATTTTTATTATAACAAAACCTCTAGATTTTAAAAGTCAGCATAGCAAATCAGGTTGTAGTCTACACTAATTGTGATTTTAAAACAAAGATACTTAACAACTCTCTATGATTTACCGTATATGGCATCTACTGCTAAGGACTGGAAGTATTATAAACTAGAACCTCTTCTTCTTAAAATGGGATTTTCTTACATTTGTTTTAAGTCAGGATAAAATACAATCCTTCTGCAATAACAATATACTTTTTTTTAATAGATAGAAGTTAATTGAATACATTAAAAAGGAACAGTGGGCAGGACAGCAAAGGAGAGACTGGCTGCCTGCAATAATGTCCTTTTAATTCTAGAACTTTAGAATTCTGGCATCTCTACTTAATATGTCAAGTCATGAATGAAGAATTTTTTTCCCTTTTGCTCATTCACAACTAAAGTCAAAACTGGAAAGCAAAGTGAAGTTTGACAAATTAGACAAAGATAAAAAAAAACACAAATTAAAATCTATATAAATGTCAAAGAGACAAAAAAGCACCTTTATCTGAGATCGGGACATACTAGACCTTATAACCTATGACACAACGGCCTTAGGACACTATAAATATACTTGTAAACATTCATATTGTGTCTGTCGTCTAAATGCAGGTCTATAAAGACTTGCTTATAATTATTCTTAGAAATGTACATCAGGGGCACCTGGTTAGCTCAGTCAGTTAAGCATCCGACTCTTGGATTCAGCTCAGGTCATGATCTTGTGGTTTCGTGGATTCAAGCCCCGCATTAGGCTCTGCACTGGCAGCATGGAGCCTGCTTGGGATTCTTTCTCTCCCTCTCTCTCTGCCCCTCCTTGATTCATGTTGTCTCTCTTTCAAAAAATAAACTTAAAAAATTTTTTTTGTAAAAATGTACATCCAAATTTCTCCACAATCCATGCTTGTTTGGTGGGTTTTACACATGAAAATACAAGAGCCCTTTCCATCCAAATTCAACAGCAAAAAAGATATCACACTTTAAAAACTACCTGTAATGGGACATCCTAGAAAAAGTAATGCTACAGAAGGATAAAGCAGATCCGTGTTTGCCAAGGGCTGGGAACAGGAACAAGGGCTGGTTGGCTATCGAGCTACAGCTGGAGGGAACTTGCAGGGACGGTGGTGGTTATAACCATTTGCACTTGACAAAACTCATGAAACTGCACATCAAAAAAGAGTGAATTTTACTGATGTAAAAAAAGTGAATCGGGGCGTCTGGGTGGCTTAGTCAGTTAAGCGTCCGACTTTCACTTGGGTCATGATCTCGCGGTTCGTGGGTTCAAGCCCCGCGTAGGGCTCTGTGCTGACAGCCAGCTCAGAGCCTGGAGCCTGTTTCAGTCTGTGACTCCCTCTCTCTCTGACCCTCCCCTGCTCAAGCTGTCTCTCTCTCTCCTAGAAATAAATAAAACATTAGAAAAAAAAAAGTGAATCAAAGAACATACAGAAGGATAGCCCAGCACCTAGACTTTCAAAATAAATACCACCAGCTTTGGTCATAAAATGCCCTAATGGTATCAAGTTTCACTATATTCCTTCTCCAAATGGTCATTCTTCAAGTAACAAGGTATATTTAATTCTAAGATTTAGAAGGATTTAAGGTAACATTGCCTATTTAAATAAAAAGCACGTTACCACTTGATACCTATACCTATTACAATCTATAAAATGTTTTGCAGTACATCAATTATCTGATTTGAGTGGCACACAATTATTACTATCCCCCTTTTTTTGGTCAGTCGTTACACCTAGAGAAAATAGTGAAAGCTTAAAAGCTGGTCCCGTGTTCTCCCCTTTACACAGTCTCTTGAATAAGAAACTAAACCTTTTAAATGAAACTTTGCTGAGTCATACATTATCTACCTACTAGCAACTAGAGAAATAAAGGTCACTAAAATACGATGCCTCATCTTAAAAACATGTCTCATGATAGGTTTCTCCTCTAACTTAAGATCTTAGCCAATGTTTTTCCATTATTTTTAAAAGCAGCCTAAGAAAATGTGCAAGATAATAACACAGAAGTAATGTATAAAGAAGCAGGGTTATTAACAGGAATCTGCAACTTTGGATCCAAAATTCTGTACCTTCATTAGTAAACTAGTTTTTCTTCTGAAAAGAGAAGGAGAGGGAGGGGGATGTAAGAAGAAATCCTACCATTTCAAGGTCGAAGGCTATTTAAGGAAATAACTTTCTGCTTTAGATAAAAGAGCTAAAGCAGTTACTATCTAAAGATGAAGAGGTTTAGAATCCTTTGCTATTTTTTTCCAAGAAACCAAAAATTATACATTAATAACATGGGTTTCAATTTCAATGAATTTACCACTCCCTATCTTTTACTTGGAAAGCTTTTCATAATAAGTAAATGAAAAGAGCATGCCATTTTGGGGGGTCTAATTATATCAATAAAATTATCCAGAGTTTGTATGGCTGAAAGTCCTATAAAAAAATAACAAATTTCAAACATAAACAATAAAAAAAGACTCCAATTTCAAACATGGGAATCAAGATGTTGAATGTAAATCTAAAAGTAAAATGTCATGCATAAAATAAAGACTATTTAAACATAATTTTGTAAGAAGTTAGAATACAGTATTCAAATAACTACCACTGAATTCTATCTATAATTGCCTAACACACAACACTCTTTTGTCAATGTAAGCATCTTATTTATAGTAATGTATCTGACATGATTTCAACTTAAAATAAAAAAATAAATTTTATAATTTCAATCTCAGAAATCTTAAAGAAACAAATTATTAAAAGCAGTTTTCTAAATGCCAAAAGCAGACAGACAAAATATACTCTGCAAATTAGAAAAATGTCAAAATATGTTTCCCCATAAAAAAGCACATTTTTAGAGGCCCAGCACATTCATTCACTCCAAGAACAAAGAATTAGTAAAGAATGAACAAAAGAGGATAAGAGTCTTCCCCATCCATGCAGAGTGCATTTCCCACCTCTTTCTCCCTGTGATCCCCACCGTGTGAATTTTGATCCAATCTGAGTCCTAGCTAAGGATATACAACAGAAAAAAATTCTACTCGTCAGAGAAATCACAACAAATCCTTTTCATGTCTAGACAGAACTATATATATACATGTGTGGATCTAACCAAAGAGGCATTTATTTCAATTTAAAGGAAACAGTTCTTTATATCTACTGCACTCAATTTATACAGTTTCCTCATGGCATGATGTAGGAAGAGTTTTTACCTGTTCTGTAGAGAATTGGAATGTGATCAGTAGAGAGTTTATGTTCACTTCGTACACCAATCAAAAGAGGGCTACCTCGTCTGTTAAGCAAAATTAAAACAGAATGAAGCCATTTCCATAACTAATGCACTGGTATAAATTTTAATGAGCTGACACTCTTAAAGTAATGTTTAAACTGTCCCTCCAGGTTCGACTTCAGGTATAACAAAAGCACAGCATAAACAGAATTTGCAAATATTAGGGCTTCTCACTGTTCTAAAAAGGACATCGTGATCAGGCCTAGATATCCTGGCAAAAGTAGTGATGGTACAATTATCTAGGAATCTGTTTAGGATGTATGCTTCCAAAAAATATGGAAAAAGTTAATCTTGGGAGCCTGAAATTAGAGAATATTCAATATCCAAATTCACAAAGTAACCATAGTGTCTCAACAGAGACAAAAGCCCAGTTATAAATGCCAAAATATATCTGCTTTATTAAGGGGTTCTGTGAAGTGGAAAAGTGGTGAAAAATGGACAAGGAAGGGCGTATGAAATAAACATATAGATATGGCATGAGATCGAGGAAAGGGCAAGTCTTTACAGTAAAGAGTAATCATCATGTACAGAGAATACACTTATAATTCAAATGTTTCAAAATGCATATAATTATTAGTCATTATTAAATCTGTACATACCTTGTGCCAACTGCTTGGCCAGGAAAATGAACACTTTTAAATACCAGTGCAAAAGCACCTTCCTATAAAGGGAAAAAAAAATACATTAGCAATATTTTTTATAATCAATTATCGAATGTGAAATGCCTAAAACATACTGACTTCGGCACAGAAATTTTTGTTCATATGTTGCTCTCTTTAAAGTTATAAACAAGTCCAAATTTTAGGCAGACACTCATTCCTGAGCTTTGGTGTATCCAAGACACACTTTTTAACCAAGCCCACTCTTGAAATATACTCAGTAGATAATAGCTCCAAAATGGACTATTATTTAAAGCACTATTTTACACAATACTAACATTTCTCAATAGATACAGCCTATCTCAGATACTGTGCATTAGAGCGCAAGGAGGAGACCCCTAGGCCAGTAATCCAAAAATCCAGTGATTTTATACCACTGTTAACTTCCATGCTTGTTGACCTTGTTATTAGAGATAAACATATACACAACCACAATTAACATGTACACCATACCACTCCCTCAACCCAACCTCCTCAGGGACAGGACCTAAGGAATTCAAGAGTGAATAAAGAGGGGCACCTGGGTGGCTCAGTCAGTTAAGCACTGACTTCAGCTCAGGTCATGATCTCGCAGTTTTTGAGTTCAAGCCTTGCGTCAGGCTCTGTCCTCTGTGCTGACAGCTTGGAACCTGGAGCATGCTTCGAATTCTGTGTGTGTGTGTGTCTCTCTCTTTCTCTCTCTCTCTGCTCCTCCCCCACTCATGCTCTGTCTCTCTCTCTTGCTCAAAAATAATAAACATTTAGAAAAAAAAAAAGAGTGAATAAAGAAGGAACAGAAGGTAGGAGAGCTGAGCTAAGGGACCACCACAGAACACAAACTGGGTTACATAATGAATAGAAACAAGAAAAGGCTAGAAAGGCCTTCCCTTGAGTAAAGGGAAAGACCAGGCCTCTATTTTCTTCATCTTCCTGATTCCTCCTTTTGCTGCAGACATCAAACGATTTGAGCAGGAGGAGGAAGTGAGGGCTGGACCTTCAGAGAAAAGTGAAGGGCTTTTAAATGGGAAAGCTAGTGGGGGCGCCTGGGTGGCTCAGTCGGTTGAGTGTCCGGCTTTGGCTCAGGTCATGATCTCACGGTTCGTGGGATCGAGCCCCACGTCGGGCTCTGTGCTGACAGCTAGCTCAGAGCCTGGAGCCTGTTTCGGATTCTGTGTCTCCCTCTCTCTCTGACCCTCCCCTGCTCATGGGGCCTCTCTCTCTCAGAAATAAATAAAACATAAAAAATAAATAAATAAATAAATAAATGGTAAAGCTAGAGTTATGAGTGAGGAAGGCAGTTATCACCATGCATTTGGATTTTTGTGGATCTCTGATATTCTTAATCTTTAACTAGGACAACTGGGACGGGATCAAAAAGAATGCCATTTTTTTTTCTTAAGCTGGGAAATACTTTTCTATAGTGTTACAAGGCCAAGGAAAAGTCCCCATAAGGAAAAACACAGAATTGACTATATAGGCTCAGAGACATGCAGACGTTATGGCAGAATAGAGTGTGCATTTCAGATGAAACTACCCTTGTGCTAAGTTACAGAGAAGAACATGAGTGAGCAGGAAGCAAGAAAGTGATGACGACTGCACCTGTTATGTACATGTTTGTGTGTGGTATCCATGGCTTCCTTTATTTTTAGACAAACTCTTTGATTTTGGATTATTTGTAATTCTCATGACACTAAACTAGCAAAAGAAGTAGTTTTAAGTGTGTGGGAAGGGAGTGGTCAGAGTCTCTCAGAATTATTCAAGTTGAAGAGCACCTCGGTGGCTCAGTTAAGTGTCCGACTCTTGATCTTGACTCAGGATATGTTCTTATGGTTCGTTGAGATTGAGCTCCATGTTGCGCTCTGCGCTGATAAACAGAGCCTGCTTGGAACTGTCTCCTCTCTCTCTGCCTCTCTCTCTCTCTCAAAATAAATAAATTTAAAAAAAACTATTCAAGTTGAGTAGTAATATATATATATATATATATATATATGGAAAATAAAAGCCAAAAATACTTAAGAAATTAGCACAATTCCTGCTTATCTTAAGAGTTTGTGATTAATGCTGGCGATAATCTTAAAAAGCATGGTTTAGGGGCGTCCAACTTGATTTTAGTTCAGGTCATGACCTTATGGTTTGTTGAAATAGAGCCCCATGCTGTGAGCACAAAGCCTGCTTGGGATTCTCTTCCCTCTCCCTGCCCCTCTCCTGCGCTTTCTCTAAACAAACAAATAAATAAAACTTTTTAAGTTTTAACTTAAAACTTAAAAAAAAATATGGTTTAGTGGCACCTGGCTGGCTCAGTCTGTAGAGCATACTACTCTTGACCAGTAATTACAGTTTAAGCCCCACAGTAGAGATTACTTAGGAAAAAAATAAATCTTAAAAAAAAAAGTGTGGTTTAATACCAATTGTTGGATAACTCTCTCCACCAAGGTAGTAAAACTGATATCTTGACTTTCCCGATTGTCATACATGTACTTAACAAGCTTGGCAATTGTCTCTGTGTCTGTTTCAGATTCAAAGTCATAGCCTTTGCTTTCCTGTAATTAGAAAGGAAAAAAAATTGACACATTTAAGAAAATATTCATGATATCCAAATCTTTTCTACAGAATTTGTTTTCTCAAAAATTTCACTAAACAATTGCTAATATTTTTTGACCACCATATCCCATTAGCATTGTTGAAAATGAAGGTCACCATCTAATTATAGCAAATCCAAAATAGTCAACTATTTTGTGCAACTGAATATATGCTTTTAATTATATATACTTATATATGCTACATATAAATTAAGAAAATTGTAGGGGCACCTGGTGGCTCACTTAGTTAAGCCTCCACTCTTGATTGTGACTCAAGTTGTGACCTCATGGTTCATGAGATCAAGCCTTACATCAGGCTCTGCACTGTTAGATTCTCTTGGGATTCCCTCTCTCTGTCCTTCCCCTGCTCCTGCTCTCTCTCTCTCAAAATAAATTTTTTTAAAAAAAGAAAATTTTAAATGATTAAAATATAATGGAATATATAACATTCACAAAATAATAATTCCATAATGAATATAATGATTCTTTCTTGGGTAATGATATTGCATTCTCCAATACAATAGCCATTAGCTATATGTGACTATTTAAACTGATTAAAATGAGGGGTGCGTGTGTGGCTCAGTCAGCTGAGCTTCTGACTCTGACTCAGGTCATGACATCATGGTTCGTGGGTTCCAGCCCCATGTCAGGCTCTGTGCTGACGGCTCAGGACCTTCTTCAGATCCTCTGTCTCCCTCTCTGCCCCTCCCTCCCTCTCAATCCCTCAAAATTAAAATTTAAAAACTGATTAAAATGAAATAAAATTTCAAATTTGGTCCCTCAGTCATACTAGCTCAATTACCACATGTGGACAGTGGCTACTATATTGCACAGATACAAGCTTCCATCACTGCAGAAAAGTTCAACTGGACAGCCCCAAGAGGCACTCATGAAGGTCATCATCATGAACATTGTAATATAATACATGGCTATTTAGGGCATAGAACCTTCATTTAATCTGCCCTAATTCTTCTTATGTATCCTGAAGCTTTGAAAAATGCCAAACAAAGGGGCACCTGGGTGGCTCAGTCAGTTAAGCATCTGACTGTGGCTCAGGTCATGATCCCACAATTCATGAGTTTGTGCCCTGCGTCGGGCTCTGTGCTAACAGCTCAGAGCCGGGAGCCTGCTTCAGATTCTGTGTCTCCCTCTCTCTCTGCCCCTCCCCTGTTTGTGCTCTGTCTCTGTCTCTCTCAAAAATAAAGACTGAAAAAAAAAATTAAAAAATAAAATAAATTAAAATGCCGAACAAGATCTCTCACAATGCAAACAATGTCCACCCCCCAAAATCCCAATTTAATTTGAGCTTTTGGGTCAAATTTATAATAAAGCCAAGTAATTATTTCTTATTCACATAAAAAACAAAAATATTCCACTATCACAAAGAAAAGTCCGGTAAACTCCAAACCCTTGTAACCATCTCAGGAATTACGTGATCACACCTAGATGGTGCGGCACAACCCAACAAACCTCACTGCCCTCCATTAGAAATTTCTCAAAGCCTGTTGTCTTTTCAGGTCACTTTACTTACCAAAAACTTTTTCAAGTCTTTGTAGTTGGTGATAATTCCATTGTGAATAACAATAAATTCTAAAAGAGATAAAAAGTATTGATGACAAAAAATTATAGGTCTAGTAAACACTGTAAATAGCCACAACTGTCAAGTCACATGCTAGAATTCCAAGTGTAATCATATATCTTCTACTTTTCATTATCAATTCTCCCTGGGTAGATTAGCAGCATTATTTATGTGGTTTAGTGGAAGCACACAGTGCTGGAGAAGTGGATGTAGAGGGAATAAAATAAACTGGGGTCTACAAGACATCAATTTCATTTGTGGCTAAACTACTAATCTAATCTCACCATATGAAAGGGGTAAATTTCCTGGGGTTTCTTCATTTGCAAAACAAGAAGACTGACCAATAGAGCTATTATTCTCATTTCTTTCTTCATTCATTCTTAGGCAGAAAAAAACTCCTAAATTTAAAGAGAAAGACTTTCAAACTAAAACAATTACCTAATTTATATTAAATGAGTTTAAGAACTTAAGTTAAAGAAAAAGAAAAACCAGCTATCCTGAGCTCCGAGCCTGCTTGGGATACATTCTCTCACCGGCCCCGTCTGTCCCTCTCCCTGGCACAGGCTCTCTCTTACTCTCTCTAAAAATAAGTTTTTTTAATTCAAAAGAAAAAAGAAAATCCAGCTATACAGATCTATAGTAAAATTTACTTAGCTGAGATCCAGACAATTCTTGAGATGTCAGATAAATTAATGTTAAAACAGCATGCCAAGATCAAGTAGATATGTAGCAGAATAATTTTGATCTTTTTGATTAAACTAAGAATTGGCAATATTATTATTTATAGCCCTCAACAGTGTATGTAAAGACCACTAATATGGATTTATTATTTAAAATTCTTATAAATTATTCTTTAAAATTAGAATACTGGGGGGGCGACTGGGTGGCTTAGTCGGTTGGGCGTCCGACTTTCGCTTGGGTCATGATCTTGCAGTTCGTGGGTTCGGGCCCCACGTCGGGCTCTGTGCTGACTGCCAGCTCGGAACCTGGAGCCTGTTTCGGTCTGTGACTCCCTCTCTCTCTGACTCTCCCCTGCTCACGCTCTCTCTCTTTCTCTCTCCTAGAAATGAAGAGAAAACATTTAAAAAATAAATAAATAAATAAAATTAGAATACTGGGGCATCTGGCTGGCTCATTGCTAGAGCATGCAACTCTTGATCTCAGGGTCGTGACTTCAAGCCCCAAACTGGGTATGGAGCCTACTTAAAAAAAAATGTAAAATTAGAATACTAAATTATCAAAATGTTTTTAAATATAAAGATCTGACATTTGGGGCTGATATTAAATGAGCTTGAACTGAATAAGTTACAAATCAAATAATAGATTTTTAAGTGAAAAAGAGATACCACCAAATGATACTACAAAAATAAATCTAAGAAAAAAAATTTTATTGCTGGAACACAAAGAATCATAAACAGCTGACTATGGGATACAAAGCCTTAACATCAAAGTCTCAAAACATAACCTAGATACAAATTTGTAGGACTCTTATAAAGGCGCTGTCAGTATTAAAAGTTTGAACAGCTGTTAGCATTCAAATCCAATTTAATAATAATTATGTGAAACATAAATACCTGAAAAGGACAGCTACTGAATTATTATAATGAAATCATAAAATCTTTTCTCAAAAGGTATGTATATACTCACACATATTCATATATATACAAATGGATATATTTGCTTATTAAAAAAAAAAAAAAATAGAAGCGCCTAGGTAGCTCAGTGGTTAAGCGTCCGACTTCAGCTCAGCTCATGATCTCACAGCTCCTGAGTTCGAGCCCCACAATTAGGCTCTGTGCTGACAACTCAGAGCCTGGAGCCTGCTTTGGATTCTGTGTCTCCCCCTCTCTCTGCCCCTCCCCTGCTCATGCTCTATCTCTCTCAGAAATAAAATAAACATTAAAAAAAATTTTTTTAAACAGTCTAAAAAATGTGTTAAATGGTTATCTACAGATAAGGAATAAGTAAGAGGAAATAGGATACAAATTAGACTTTCTTTATTGGTATGACTTCAGAACTATGCACACAGTTTGAAGTAAAAATTTTAAAGATGGTCAATCCCTAAACATTAAAATAAAATATAACCGATCAACATAATGTTGTATCTGATAATATCACAACCACAGGGGATTATTACAAGTGACTCTAAAATACAGTAATTTGATTATATATCTCTAAAGAGATACACTCTAATGATAAAAATATTAATAAAAATTTTAACAAAAAACAGTAAACATACTTATGGTAGTACTGGTATGAGGATTCTGTTGTATGTAGATGATACAATAAATCAAATAAGTATGTTGCAGGTGTTAAGAATGGAGTTTTTAGGTGAGATTGGAAGGAAATCTATCAGAGCAAGGAGGTTAAATAAAAACCTTCCAGCATTAGATTTGAATCAAAAGCGTTAGTGTAATATTATGCCGTGTTTTATCTTTAAACTTATACATGCATGCACACACCCACAGAGCTATTTTCCTGCTCTGTCCACCTAAAGACCTCAGTGCAATGAGCACCTGGTTTATAGTCTTCATATACCATTTCCACTAAAAGGAACTAAGGATCCTTAGAGATATGGATGATGCCAAGTCTGGGGCAAAATTAGATGAACCTGAAACAAAGACTATTAAGCCTACTAGTGTCATGTCAGGAACCAACCTAAATAAGCTCCAATAGCCAAAGATGGGAAAATTTGTGCATCAATATAGATTATTACTCCTGTGTTTTTAAAAAATACAATATTTTAAATTTGTGAGTTTATAATAATAAAAAGAAACTCGTTCATCTTAGAACATTAGAACCACTTCATTTTTGAAAAATGGTAAATAAAGTGAAAAAAATCAAATACTTATCCTGCCTCTCCTATATAATATGGAACTCTGGGTAACTAAGCAGTTGATATGGAGAAGTTTCTCTTTACAGAAGTATTTAAGGTAAGTGAAAAATGAATGACAGTACTTGACTATCAGCATTTTACAAATCCCTAAAGAAATAATTAATTGGCAATAATCTATGGCCACCAATAATACAAAAAGAAAAATGCTCAAACATTACATACCTCCACATGTAAATCAATACCATACCAATTTATAGTAAATAGAAGAGACAGAGAAACTTAAATGGCACCCTGGGATGCATACAATTAAGCAAGATCTAGACTGCAGGAAACTCTACAGGACAAACAACACAGCAAAGTGCAAGGAAAAAGGAGAGAAAGACAGAGCTTCCAAAATAATCTGGGTGGAGGAATACAGAGAAACAGAACAGATTTTGTATTGTTAAATGTTAAAGCTGGGTAACAGATACATCAGGTTCTACATATTGTCTACTTCTGCAAATGCTTGAAATTTTCCAAATTAAAAAAAAATTAAAATAACAAAAACATAAAAGTCTTCATTCTTCTCCCATTGGCCACCCCTCTATAATCATTCCAAAGCACGCAGAATGTGTTCATACCATTATTTTTATCAGAGCGCTGGGGATGGCTGTTGACAGGATTGGGTTCTCCATGTGTCGCCCAACGGGTATGAGCTATTCCGAGGTGTACATCAAATTCTATATCCAAATCCATATCCTGTTGCTCTGAAGATATAAAATGAAAAATTCCAATATTAAATCATGCTGTAGAGATAATGCCAAAAGTTATATTTAAATATAATTATTACAGGGCACCTAGGTGGCTAGGTTGGTTAAGCATCTGACTTTAGCTCAGGTCATGATCTCATAGTTCATGGGTTTGAGCCTGGCACTGGGCTCTGTGCTGACAGCTGGAGCCTGCTTCAGATTCTGTGTCTCCCTCTCCCTGCCTCTCCCCTGCTTGTGTGCTCACTCTCTCCCTCCCTTTCTATCATTTCTCTATCATTCTTAAGACCCTACATGACCCAGTCCTCAATCTCACCAGCTCATCTCGTGCCACTCTCCCCCTCCCTTACTGTGTGCTAGCCCACTGACTTTCAGCTGTAAGCAGGCCAAGCTCACATAGTCTTTGAATTTGGTGTTCCCTCTGCCTAGAATCTCCCCCTTCAGACAATAATGTGGTCTCTGCTCAAATGTCACCTCTACTATATTTTGTCTTCACAGCACTAATCACTACCTAACATTATTTATTTGTTTGTTGTCTGGCCCTCTCACTAGAGTAAGTTCCATCAGGTCAGCGAGTCTGCCTATCTTGTTCTCTACTGTGTCATTAAGGCCTAGCACACTGGCTAGAATAAAGTAAGTGTTCAAGAAATATTCATTTTGTTGCCGAATCTTCACAATACTCTGTTAGGTACTATTGTCCCCATTTTATAAAGAAACTGAGGCTCTAAGAGTGAGAGAAACTGCCCTAGGTCATAGCTAACAGGAAGCAGAAATAGGATGTGAACCCAAGTCTGGCTAACATCCAGAGATAACAAATGTTAAGATACAACCATTCGTGCTTTACATCTGATGATATAAAATATAAAACAATCTTAAATTTTTGTTACATCCTAGAATAACAGCCTTCCTTTGCCACCAAATTTCACTGCCTTTACTATCAACACTGTCTCATGACAGCACCTACTCCTCCATGACAGTACTTACTCCTGCGTTTCAATTTCCTCATCTACAAAATGAGGATGATAAGTTTACCTACTTCATGGGTTATACTAAGGACTAGTAAGGCACTCAGTAGAGTGTCTGGGACACAGCAATAACAAATGTTAGCTATTACTAACGAAGTCAGAAGTTACTGATAATCAATCTCATGGCCTTTTCTGAAATGACTTCCTTTCTCTTTTGTCTTAAGAGGTCATAAATTGAAACTTGCTATGAGAAACGAGGTGGACACCACAAACATCCAAATATCCACACCCAGAGTTAACAAATATTAACACCTAACCATTTGTGCTCTAGATTTTTTAAGATCTAAAATGTAAAAATGCCAACTGATGCCTCCTTTATGCCCTGGCCCCATCCCATGCCTCCTCGGGGAGTTCTCAGGTTGACGGAGCACTGCCTCCCCTGTGCCTCTGAACATCTAATACAGACAGTAACGTGTCCACAAATGATAGCATGCTTTTGTTTTTTAAATGGTACTAACTTTGCACATCTCTAAGGATGCTTTTTTCATTCTTTCACTCAATATTAGGTTCCCACAACCTATCCATGTTCTCATATGCAGAACCAAGTCCAGTACACTCCTTTCAAAAGCTACATATGTTCCTTCACTGTATCATATCCAACTCAGTCTCCTGTTCTCTTACCGGTAGACATTTAGGTTGTTTCTACATTTTGCTGCAATGAATCCTGTCCTATCCCCTTATTCATAGAGTTTCTTCCAAGTATATGCCCAAGAATGGAAGCACTCGGTCACAGGATATAGGCATCTCCATTTAGACATTACCAGCTTCCTCTCCAAAGCGATTCCTCAGTTACAAATTCAGGAGCAATGTCTGCTAATTCCCAATCTTCCCCTTCCTTCAGGAGGTAGCAAGTCGCAACATGCTGATATGCAAAGACGGTGATTCTGGTCACAGTCTGCCCTCTGGCTTCCCACACTCAACTACCAATACTATAGAGTAAAAGGACTACCCACTATTCCATCAAATTTGGCTTCCCTATTCTTATCTTTGCTGATGCTATTCTATTCAGAAGGTCCTCCCTTCTCATCCTCACAACCCAAACAGAATCAACAGGCATTCCTTATATACCTCAAGTTTCTCCAACGGTGCCCAACTTCAAGTGGGAACTAGCTCTCCCCTGAATCCTTAAACAATATGTTTGTTCTCTCCTATGGAATCTACTATAATCAGCCTGGTATACAGGATACAGTACATATAGTACACCGAATATTTATACTACAGTTTTTGAAATATAGTTATTTGGGTGCCTGGCTCATCCCGAAACTAATCTCACCCACAATATGTGCAAAATAAGTACTGATCTAATTTGCTAAGTACTACAAAGCTAAATGTTTGGCTTACGTGGGTAAATAAGTGAAAAAAGTGACCAAGTCTACCATTCTCCTCTTCTACCTGCACTCCTTTGCCATGATTACAATGGCATCCATTTGAGCAGGTACATAAAAAACCTACTGTTTCCTGGAGGTTATGGAAGATGTTTTTAATTTTTTTCTTTTCAATTTAAAAAAAGCTTCAAAGCTTTTGCTTTGTTTTTAAGCTTCCCGTGAAAAATTAAAATGTTTAAGCATAATGTTATGAACTAAATATTGAGAAGTATATCCTCTTTAACGGAGCATGTATTTCTAGGCAACTACTTTATACCAGGGAAATAAGAAAATCTGAAAGAAAACATGATACTTACCTGATTATATCATATCTATTAAAAAGGGCAATATTCAGACTGACTATATGTCCAAAATAGGCATTTACTCCAAAGACACTAGAATAAGGGCACCAATAAAAACACCTCTGTCCTATGAAAGGCCTTCCTCAGGGATGGTGGTTCCTTCATTTTCGGATACTGAGCTTGCTATGAACACAAGGTACCTAGCTAATTTCATCCCCTAGTTAATACGGCCATTTTTAAAGCTAAGTATACTGTACACTAGCAGAGATAATAACAAAACTACTTTTCTTCTCTTCCTTCCACTTGAAACATCACAATTCTTAAAAGAACCCCAAAATACGGGAAGAAAGGTAATTTGGTAGGAAAGGGAGAAGGAAGCAAAGGGAGGGGAGACGGGACAAAATTCAAACTAAGTACATTACTGTGAACTTCTTCATCCAGTGCCTTAACTTTCCCTTTCTTCTTAATGAGCTGGATCTTGCAGGCATTGGCTTCCCAATCCTTGTCATTGCCTCCATCAACTCCCACCCCTACATCACAGAGGCAGAAAAGCTAGATTTAGAAACTTAGATTATCATCATGAAACAAAACTTTTAATTAAAAATTATTTTTTCATCTAATTAATTCATTTGTTCATCAATTCACATTTACTGAAAACCTATTATATGTCAAGCGATAGCTGCTAGAAACAAAACTGAAAATTATTCCATTTTTATCCTCAAATTTCTAATGATGTACTCAGAAGAAAGGGAACAAGTCATTACAATACAGTGTGGGTCTGGATTATATAATACAAGTACCACAGGCTGAAGGAAAAAAAAAAAGCACTCCAGGTTGGGTGTCAACCTGAGCACCATGGAGAAAGGCAGAAGATCGGCACCCAGCTCAGAAGGGAAATACACAAGGACAATCAGGGAACACATTCCTTGAAATTCTACTTAAGTTTCTAAAGAATTTGAAAAAGGTACCCGAAGGAACTAAAAAAGCATGAAGTAGTCTTAAGCAGAGAAATCAAAAACGTATAGAAGACTCTCTTTGGAAACAGAGTGGACTGAAGGGGGGGGAAACAGAAGAAACCAGCCGTCAGAAGATACAGCTACAGGAAAGCAAAAATGAGGAGGCCCTGAACCTCCTCACTTTTGATGGTGGTGATGAAGACAGGGATCAGTGATACCGAGGGCAGAACTGCCTGGATGCAATGTGAGGAGGCAGGCTGGGTCCGGGAGACCTTCCAGGCTCATTGGACTTGTTGAATGACTGCTGATAAAACGAACACAGTGAGAAACACATGCAGAGTGTGTTCAGTCTACTTCTGGGCATGCAAAATTTATATCATGGTTTATCCAGGAAAAAAATTCTAAGAGGCAGCTGGAAATACAGGTCTGCAGCTTGGGAAATAGACACGGGTTATTTGTCATCAACATATGAGAGGCTGATGAAGTCTGAGCTCACCCATGACAATACAAGAAAAATGGGCGTAGGAAAGAATCTTGAAGAACATTAATATTTAGGCAAAAGGTGGAAGAAAAGGAGCCCTCAAAGCAAACAGAAAAGAACCAGCATGTTAAGAGAGTATGTGTTACAAAAAAAGCTAAGGAAGGAGAGAATTTTATGAATGAAGGAGTTGAGGAATTCACTTTCTATTAACTGAGGAAGTCATGGAAAATAAGGGCCCATTACATTTGGCAATGTCAAGAGTACAGAAAAGGCTTAACATAGCAAGCCTGACACCGCTTTCCTTAGAAAGGTCTGCCTGCAAAGTTGGCCCTTGGCTGGCAGCTGGGAACTTGGGAATTCAGGACGGTTACCGCACCTAACTATGAAACAACGTGGCTTATACTGAACATCTGCTTCCATTCTGGGAGTCTAGAATTGTGGTATGTGTTAGGCAGATGGGTAGGATCCAGGCGACCAGCCTCATATAAAAGCTTGGGCGTTGAGTGGCTTCACTGATACACATTTCACACACGTTGTTGCAAGCGGCTGAATTAAGCGAACACTGTGGGACTCCAATAGGAGAGAACGCTCAGAAGCTCGTGCCTCACACCCTCCAGACTTCACCCCATGTGCCTTCTTCCCTGGCTGATTCTGCTCTGGATTCTCTTGTTGGAACAAATCGTAGCCATGAGTACAACTATATGCTGAGTCCTCCTCAGGAGGTGGTCTTGGGGACGCCTAACATAGTTAAGGAAAGGAGCCAGAATAGAACAGTAAGGTGACAAAAAGGTATTTTTATTTGCTTTGTCATTTATTTAAAGTAGAAGAATCTCAGGCAAGTTTACATGCCAATAGCAGGGAATCCTTGGAGAAAAAGAAATTAAAGTTACAAAAAAGAAAAAAGATAATTTATAAAGTAAAGCCTTCAAGAACTTTGTTCTACCATGAACATGCCCCAGGTGATTTATGTTCTTATAGTAACATTCTCAACAAAGGAAGATTTCCATAAGAAGTAATATAAATGGTAATACTGTTGAAATTACATGAATAAACCCTTTGAACATGATAAAAGATAAAAATTCTTCTTTTAATGTTTATTCAAAAATAGACATTACTAAAGAATCTAGTCAACAGACAAAACCTCTTTATTTAGATTCAAGAATCATGTTAAACCTATAATATTTTTTTAAAAGGAAATACCAGCAGAATCATATCCTCTGTACTCCAGTCTCTGAAGGCCTTTGATTAGGGTCTCCAAGATTTCTCGTCTTGTGCGAGGAACATGGTAGTTTAAGTAAGCAAATATACCTGCAAATAAACAAATATGTAAAAATTTGAGTAATGAAACAATATTGACACAATTATGACAAAATCCTCATTTGCATAATTACCTAAGATATGCAGAAATAGGAAGCTAGAGTCATCTTTAAAAAAGAAAGAGGAGCACATGGATGCCTCAGTTGGTTAAGTGTCCAATTCTTGATTTCAGCTCAGGTCAAGATTTCACAATTTGTGGGTTCCAGCCCCATCAGTCTCTGCACTGACAATGTGATGCCTGCTTGGGATTCTCTCTCTCCCTCTCTCTCTGCCCCTCCCCACCTCACATGCACTCTCTTTCTAAATAAATTTTAAAATACAGAGAGAGAGAAAGAGAGAGAGAGAGAGAGAGAGACAAAGAAAGAAAGAAAGAAATTCTCACTTCAAATTATTTAAAGCTGGTGAAACTTTTATAAAGGAGTATTTCTCATTAATATAAAAGACTAAAGCAAATAAATGTTTAGTTTTTGCAAAGCTTATAAAGCTAGTCACATATCTTCCATCACTGCCATTTAGTCTGGTAAAATTTAGTTTAAAAAACGAACCAATCACAGGCACCTGGGTAGCTCACTTGGTTCAGTGTCTGGCCTTGGCTCAGGTAATGATCTCATGGTTCAGGAATTCCAGCCCCACATTGGGCTCTCTCCTGACAGTGCACAGCCTGCTTGGGATTCTGTCTCTCTCTCCCTCTCTCTGCTCCCTCCTGCTCACACTCACTCTCTCTCAAAAATAAATAAATAAACTTAAAAAAAATTTTTTTGATTAACCAATCAACAAATTTGTACTTTATGTCCTATATACTGAGCACTGTCTAAAAGAAAACATATTCTTAAGTATTTTAAATAACACATGGGCCCTACAAAACTATACAGATGGAATAATTTTTCTTACTTCCAATGATCCTGGTATCAATAACAGTAACAATAAACAACTTATAAATATCAGTATATTTATATACAACCTAAATAATTTAATAACAGGGAGAAATGGACTAAAATATGTATAGAATCATCTTAAGGGAAAATGGCTGGAATCTTTTGTTCACCAGATACTACCAAAAGATAAACAACTATTATGATACATGTTAACACCTACTGAGAATTCATAAAGAAGGAGTACTTATTTGGAAAAACAAAACTAGCATAAAAAGGAATAGTACAATGTGAACTGAACCAGAAAAGCAAACAAGCAGTAGAACATAGGTAAAGGAAATCCACATTTAAAAAAATTTTTATAACGCTTATTCACTTAAAAAAAAATTTTTTTTTAATGTTTATGTTTGAGAGAGAGAGAGAGAGAGAGAGAGAGAGAAAGCACGTCAGCAGGAGAGGGCCAGAAAGAGGGAGACAGAGGATCTGAAGCAGGCTCTGCGCACTGAGCATAGTGCCCAGCGCGGGGCTTGAACTCACAAACCGTGAGATCATGAACTGAGCCAAAACCAAGAGTCGAGCACTTATCCAACTGGCCACCCAGAGGCCCCTATTTATTCTTATTTGAGAGACAGAGTGTGAGCAGGGAAGGGGCAGACAGAGTGGGAGACACAGAATCTGAAGCAGGCTCCAGGCTCTGAGACCCACATGGGGATCGAACTTACAAACCGTGAGATCATGTCCTGAGCTGAAGTCCAACACTCAAACGATTGAGCCACCCAGGTGCCCCAGAAGTCCATATTTTAAAAACAGCAGCATGAGGAGTACCAACCACACCTTACATTTGACTGTTCTGTCTCAAAAGTCTCTTTGAATCCAGAATGGTCTCCCCTACTGCCCTGTTTTCCCCAAGACACCAATTTACTGGCAAGCTGAGGCCAATTTTCTTGTTGAATGTCTCACCTTTTGGCTGTGTCTAATTGCTTAAACTAGAAATAGTCTAACCAATTTCTCTATTCCTTTTATTTCTTGTAGATTGGAAGACAGATCTAAAGACTTGATTGAGTTAGGTCAAAATTTAGGGGCAAGAATTACTCACAATGCACATATTATTTTATACTGTCCACAGGTCCCTTATTAGCGACATTAAGATTGTCACTAGTAAAGACAATCGGATCACCTAGCCTATCATATTCTGAAAGCATCTTCAGAATACTCTTCAGAGCTTTAGATATTGACAGCACTGATTTTAAGATATTCATATTCTCTGGGGCGCCTGGGTGGCTTAGTCGGTTAAGCGTCCGACTTTCGCTTAGGTCATGATCTCGCGGTTCGTGGGTTCGAGCCCCGCGTCGGGCTCTGTGCTGACTGCCAGCTCAGAGCCTGGAGCCTGTTTCAGTCTGTGACTCCCTCTCTCTCTGACCCTCCCCTGTTCACGCTGTCTCTCTCTCTCTCTCTCCTAGAGATAAATAAAACATTAAAAAAAAAAAGATATTCATATTCTCTTTCTTTGTGATCTATATAATAATGGAGCACTTCCCAGTCAGTGGCATCTTAAATTCAATAAAATACCATATATTGTGTTCCAATTCAAAACCTGCCTTTTACTTGAGAGGAAGCACTATTATTATCAATAATTATCAGTGTAATTTTGGGGTTCACTCTTGGAACAAAGAAAAGAAGAGGAGGAATAGAGGAAGAAGTCGGAGCAACATTTCTCTGTACATAACCAGGCAGGAATTGAAAGGAAGAATAGGATAACATATGTACAGAAGTTTTCTAAGATCAAAGTAACAGAGCAGGAGAAAGAAAAAACAGAGGGGAGGGGATTACCCTAAGTCATCCCTGCTTAAAGAAATGAGAGATAAAGAAGAGGCTGAACCTGTCAATTTTACTGACCAGCCCCTCCCCAGGCCTGTTGCTTCGAGACAGTGCACCTGCTGGCATTAGTGGGTTATGTGTACTTGTGGGGTAGCTGGGAAAATATAATTGGCAAATAACCAGCCAATCAGGCATACAGGGCATGTTCGCAAGGGAGGCATTCATAACTCAAAATGGTGCTTATTAGCATAGAAATCACTAAAGTGAACCCCATTCCAGGTCTTTGACTTGTCTTCTCAAACCTCTCATAAACAGCTCTGCTTTAGGTTAACTACTAAAAGCCCAAGAATCAACACTCTTCTGCTCTTCGGTAATTGCTCCAATACCACACACAATAGTTTTATGGAGTGCAGATTTTCCTCTCCTATATCACCATGTGCTTCCAGAGTGTAAGTTTTCTTATTTATTAGCTGAATATTCTTGGAATAAATATTCCCTTAAGTGAAGTGGGTGCTCGCACTTACAGGCATCATTCTTGGAAAATTGCAACTTAAAGTCAATGACATAAAAGCACTAATGAGCACCCTGCTTAACAAAATACTCAGATGCAACCAGGAGACACACTTGGTTAAAAGATTATTAAACCTTATGGAAATGAAAACTGAATGCAACTTAGTTGACTAATTATTAAAGTTCTTATGCCTGATTAAATTTATATCCTTATACATGAGAATACTACATATTTTTCCCCTTGCCATCTTCAGTATTTTGAGACCTCAGACAGTATAATTTATCAGTGATAAGTGTTCAAATTCATTCTCTAAACTTTATACTTTCTGATCAAAATCTATCTGCAATGCCACTTAACTTTCATTCTGCAAGTTATACTCCATTCATAATCATCATTAAAGATTCAAATTACACAAATGCTACAGAAGTGTATACCTCCATACAAGGGAGCTATCCACTATTAATCCCAAACAAACTGTCTAAATTCTTCAGCCATACACTTATGTATATGTACAGTCCTTTCGCTATACAAATACAAAACTACATGTACATGGCTTTAGAGGGCACTTCTGTAACAAATAAATGTGATGTCTCTCTATATATTGTTTCTTCTACTTAGGATGTTGGCTATCTTTTTATGTCAGTATATAAACATCTACCCTATTCTATTTAATAGCTGCATACTACTGCATAAGAGATTTATTTTACCTAATCATTTCCCTCCCAATTGAGGTTTTTCTGATTCTCCATAGTTACAAACAATGCCTCAATTAAACTTATACACATCAACTTGATGCCTGTCATAAAACAAGTTCAACACTATAATCATGGAGGTACAGTCTACAAGAAAGATTCCTTTAAAGGAGGAAATATTTGAGATAACATTTTCTATAATCCTGAAGACAACCAAGAAAAAAATTATATACAGTGACAAAATGAGGAATTTCAATTAGTAGTGTTTTTTTAAGTGTTTAAAATCTTTTCCCTATTTACAAAATGCTGGTTCGAGTGTCCCCTACTTTGTTGTAAATACATGCTGCCACTGGAAGGAGTTCCATAACACTTCTTACACACTGAACACTCTGGAACTCAAAGCACTGTTTAAACCCTGACATCTCTAATTACACACTCCCTCACAGCCTACCTATGGCATCATCTTTCCTGGAAAAAGCATGCATTTCCTGCTCACAAACCATCAAATATTTCATCTCTCCCGCTTCCATCTAACCAATCCCATCAGACAACAATTTTTCATCATCCTGACAACCAGCCCCTCTGAGCCCACTGTCCCCAAGCAGGCCTACAGCAAGGTCTATCCACTTCAGGTCCATCCATCTCAGGCCCGCTTCTGTAGGGGCCTCCCAACTGCTGGCCAACCCTGTTAATTCACTGCTGGGCCAACTTTCAAATTTCCCCAGATATTATCTTAAAGCTAGAATCTAGACTCCTCTCATATTTCCATTTCTCTTCTTTCTGCTTTCCTCTTCCATTTTTAGTAGATTCTCACCTACAGAACTGAAGCTTTCATCATCATCTTAACAGTATTATACCCTCTTATCCTTCCTACATTGCTGACGTGCCAGCAGCTCTTCACCTTAGAGACCTACTATGGATTTGGATACAGCCTGGGTGGGAGATCCACACCCTCCCCCAGATTTTGAAGGACCATCAAGAGCTCATCAGACACTGCTGGAACATCTGGAACATCTTCGTTATCCCAGGCACAGGTCCCCCCTCAGGGCAAAGCAACTCCAAGGTGCCTTATCCTTTCATTTAAGTTCAAAATAGAGA